TACTTGTTTAATAGTGTTTGTTACTTTATCCCACATCACATTTGCTTCTTCATGAATATCCTAAATTTTGAAATCTTGAATTTTACTCATAAAAATAATTTTATTTGTGTCATTTAAGTTTCTTCATCTAATTTTACGATGATGAACCATAGTAATTCTTTATTTTGCAACTCTTAATCTTAAAATCTAGAACTAATAAACGATGTTGGGTACTTAAATTCTCACTTGGAATGATTTTACAATCTTTACAATCACGTCAATTTGTGTTTTATTAGATCCACTCTTATAAGTAATAAGATGCTCATATATTTTCTTGAATAAAGTATTAGTAATAACAAAATCATACGCTAAAACAAAGTCTAAAATAATTCTACCTTATTCATTAGTTACTCCAAAACCGTATCCACCATGAGTATTTCTGAAGTCATCTACCACTTTACCGACATGTACATTTAAATCTCCTCCAAAAAAAATTCTTTCTTCAAGAGGTATTATCTGTATTAAGTCTTCTAAGCCTTTCCAAAATTTATCTTTAGACTCTATATCTAAACCTACTTGAGGAGCATAAACACTTATAATATTAAAAATCTTAATATCAATGATAATCTTAAGGGCTATAATTCTATCTCAAACTCTAATAATTTTTACAACATTATCTTTCAAACTCTTATCTATAATTACACCTACACCATTTCTAGTGTGACTCTTACCAGAATACCAAAGTTTAAAACCTAAATTATCAATCTCCTTGGCCTTTTCTCCAACCCGTTTAGTTTCTTGAATACATAAGATATTAATTTTCTTATGAATCATAATATCAACTAATTCCATTAATTTACCATTGAGAGTACCTATATTCCAAGATCCTATCCTAATATTAGTTTCATTGGTTTCATGGACTAACTTCTTTACCCGTATTCACTCATAATGCGGGAACCCTTGCTTATTTAACACTACACCCGGGCCTAGGTGTAGCGGCCCTTGCACGGTTTTCATTGTATTCATGATATACAATGCGTCGCTTCCAGGGGACGCCCTAACACTTACACAATGACCAAAAGGATTCATGTCATGATTTTTTTTGACAAGTTTTACGCTGGCTGTCGACTAGCTAACGCAACTCTCCACTTTTCACATCCGGGCTTAGGACCGTCAATGACAATGTTTTCTTCCAACTTTTCTTTGATCTTTTTTTTCCTCCGATCTTCTTTGTTTTATGTTCTTATTTTTCTCTGAATTTCACACCTCACTACACTTCCTCGTCGTCGACTTTCTCTTCCATGTGTTTACTTCATGGTCTAACAATGTGAACTCCATGCGTTCAATTCATACTCAAAAGTATGTGAAATTTAGTAATCTCCATGTGTATTCACTTATGTACAAAAATTATTAAATTCAAGTAACATAAATATGTTTTTCCCTTGTTTATACATTAACAGATGAAAGGGAACTATCCACGTACTTCTACTTATGTCAAAATATATGAAAGTTGAATAATCTACTTATTTCCTTCATGTATTTTGAACATGTTCAAGAGTGGAGTAGTATTCATGCTTTCTCTGCACATTTTAAGCATGTTAGGTCAAGAAACATCCATGTTTGCTTATAGTGTTAAATATGTTAAATATAAGAAATCTCCATGTATAATTTCTTCTATATGTCGAATATATGAAATGAAATAAAAAAAGTGAGAGAAGGAGAACCTCTTACATAAAGGTTTTATCCAAAGAAGAGATCAGCTTATTGACCAAGTGGATAAATAACTGTAGTATGATAGGGGGGGTTGAGAAAACACTCATTGCATTGACAGTTGCCCTTCACTTGAGAAGTGGTCCTTGAAGTCAGCATGTCTGAACGAAGTATGTGATGACTACCCACCACATTCGTGCTTGAGACATTAATTCAAACAACTTTTTGAGAATTTAGCGAATGCAACCCCTAGCTTGGAAGTAGTTTTCATAGATTTTGTATCTGAATAAAATGCGAGAATACCGTCCTGCCAAAATCATGCCTATGATGTTAACATGAACAATCATTCGAGATTACAACCAATGTTACCCTTACACTGAAGCAGAGGCTTGCCATCTTAGACTTCAAGACTGTGCTGGATGGGACTTTATTTCTCACAGATGATACCATACTAATGCATTGTAGAATATTTGTGGCGGTAGAGCAGTAAGTTAGCATTTTAACATTGAATGTAATTCCAACACACAAATATAAAAAAGAGAAGTAAGCGGAACGAGACATTGATTTTTACATGAAAAGTCTTATAAAGAAGAAAAATAATGAGACATTACCTAATTAAAATAATCTATTATGTAATTGTATGTACATAGATCCACTATCCTTTTAAATTAGATAAGATATAATTACAATGTTAATATACAATAGTAGTTTAACAATAATAGTTATAAAGAACTGCAAAAGTCGTAATCAATTGCAATGAAGGCATTAGCCCACCATGAATGTTATAGACAATGACTGCAGTGCCATTTGATCATAGAAGTCGTAGTTGAAAGTTGTAGTACTTGGCCATGTAGAGCGTAGATGATTGCTTTAGGAGTATTGATTACCCACAGAGGTTGTAGTAGAAATGTGAAGAGGTTGTGAGCCACGTAGGTTTCGGTTAGCCAAGTAAGTCGTAATGATAAATTGTAATAACATCGTTAAGTCGCAAAGGCCGAAGTTGGAAGCTATATGAGTTGTGAGCCATATAAAGTATAGTTGATTATGTATTTAGTAATAGTGATATCCAATAAAGTTTTGTGAATATTTAAGTGTCTTAATAATGTCAGAAGTGAGTGATATTGAAGTCAATAGATTCATCTCATGGAAACACCCAATTTGATTATAATTTTGTCAGATTTGAAATCCATTCACTCCACCATGCACCTAAAACTTTTAAAAATGGTTTAATGACCCAATCTGAGTTTGGTTTGACTCAGATTAACATCATTTTGACGTCATCAAATAAGTCTCGCAAAACATGTCAGTTTACTTTTAAGTTGAATTTGAATGTATTTTGTTAAAAAAATATTCTGAAATTCATCCATTGTCTTGAGATTTATGCTAATAATAAGATTTATTGACAACCAAATCTTATAATTGATTAATTTTATGAAATTATTTATTTCTTTCATTAAAGACCTTCAATTTTATTTGTTCCGGCAGTACAGCCAGCATCGTTTGATCGGAA